CAGGTATAATAGTGAGGATAGTCCTTAAAACAGAGCTTACTATATCCTGGGTACCAGGTCCTCATGATTCTAGAAATTTCAATGTGATACTTGATAGTTTACAATTATTATCTGATAATTAAATTTGATCCTGTAAGTGTGAATTAATATAAATCCTCATAGAATAGTATTCTTTTTGGTTATATGAAATGCCATATTGTCTCCAGTTACAAGGGGTGGGAGAGCTATTCAAGTGTCTATTAGTCAGGGGCACTAATTGGAGTTTTGATCCCACCTTCTATTGCCCTCTGGTTGTTACTAGCTGTTACTGAGGCCATGAATTGCACCTTCCCCAATGAGCATGCCCCTCAGGAAAAAAAAAACACAAAAATTTTAGGAGCTTCTGGGTTATTATGTTGTGGAAATTCACTAGTAGAAAATTCACTTAATCTCCTCTAAATTCTCTACCAGTTCCCTGTCCCCGCTCTTGTTTCTAAAAAATGCCTTACCACAGTAGTTTGCTGCTTCCCCAGAGTGATTTGATCATCTCTCCTTTTTCCAAGCTCCTAGCTCCTCTGACCTTCTAATACACCAGTTTTGATACTGAATGTGAAGTTCCTTAACCTGAGGTCTGCCTCCTCCTGTGCTGAATTATCTTAATCTCTCCTCTGAGCATGGGAAGGAAGGAAATGGTGTAAATGGTTCCTCACCTCACGGTGAGGAAAATGGCAGCCTTTGGGAAACCAGATTTTGGCTATGGCTAAAGCTTCATGTTCTTCCTCCCTGTACTCTGGGCTATAAGTGATTCATTAAAACATGTTTGACCATTTGAAAGCATTTCTAAGTGTGACTTAGTCTGTAAGGTCCTTTGCCTTTGTATTTTTGGGGGCTGATTCCTCTATTAAAAGCCCCAAGTTTTGAAACCCTGTTTTTAAGTATGTGAATCCTCATAGCACAGTGGAAAGAGTTTGGGAGTCAGTGGACCTGGGTTCAAATCCCATGTCTTATATGTACTTCAGATATGACCACGGGCAAATCACTTAACCTCTCTAGGCTTCAATTTCCTCATCTGTAAAATGGGGGCATTAGACTAGATCTCTAAGCCCCCTTCTAGATCTCTGGTTCTATGATCCAAGTAACTTCTGCAACCATATGCTGATTCTTGACTTGTTTTAACAATAATTGCATACTTAACAAGATGGAGAAACCAAGAGCAAATTATTTTTGAATCTAATTCTCACCAACCTAGAGTTGCTTAGTGGAAATGATGGGACCCTTGGAGGGAAATAACTATTCCCTCTCTGAGTTTGAGATAGAGAAGAGGAAAGCTGGCCACAGATTGACATTTACTTAAGATTTGAGAAGAACACATTTCAAATGGTTCAGAAGAAGAATAGATAGGATTGTATGGAATAAAATTCTGTAGATAAAGTAAATCCAATAGGGGATGGAAAACTCTCAGGAATAAAATTCTAATGACATAAAGGGGGGGGGAACTAATCAAGAAGAAAAATGGGAAATGCCCAGAGCCCAATGGGAATGCACAGAGAACTCATCCACCAACTTAGATTTAGAGACACAAATACAGAAGATGGCAGGAAGGCAGGCAACAGACAATATTTTAGGAGTGCTAAAGCTTTCAATGTGCTAACGTGGTAAGAAATGCTAAACACAATCAAAAGGAAAAAAGTTTAAGCTATATTGGGGAAAAAGAAAGATCAAAGAAGGGATAGACCTCTGATCCAGGTGGTTAGGACGATGTGAAATAAAGAGAGAAGCCTGCTTCTGTCTGCTCTGCCAAAGAGAATGATCTTTGGATTGGAAAGGAGAGTGGAGAGGTAGGGAGAAAGAACAAAAATATTGCCAGTTGGGAGTTGATATCTGAGATAAGTAAGGAGATAGAAAGAGAATATCTAGCTATCCTTGATGAATTAGCCATTCAGTCCAGTTTTACTAGATTATCAGGTAGTGAAATTGAAAGTGATTGCTGAGTCACTACCAGTGACATTTTAAAGAGAGTAAAGTATGGATGAGATACTGAAAGGCTAGAGAAGGGTAAATGTTATTTTCAAAGGATAAAAGAGAACAGAGTCTTCACACATTATAAGCCAATGAAACTGACTTTGATTCTTGGGCAAATTGTTGACCAGATTATCACAGAAAGGGTTAGTGTATATGTAGAAGGAAATGATCACAAAGAGCCTGCATGACTTCATTATGAACTGATCATTCCTGAAGAATCTCATTTTCTCTTTTTGACAGGACTACTAAAGTAGTAGATCAGAGAAATGCTGCTGATCTAGTTTACCTAGATTTTAGCAAAGTAAATGATAAAATGGCTCATACAATTCTTGAGGACAAGATGAAGACTTGTAGTCTAGTTGATGGTACAATAAGATGGATTCAGAAAATGTGAAGGAATGGATTGAATGGGATGATTCAAAGAGTAATCTTTAAGAATTCAGTCATTTCAGACTTGTCTCCAAGCAAGTGTACAGGAGATTGCTATTTAACCTTTTACTGTTTACCATTCTAATGAATGATTTGGATAAATAAGTAGCTGGTGTCCTTGTCAAATTTGCAGGTGTCATAAAACTAGGAGGGATACTTCCCACCCTGGATGAAAATACAAGATAATGGAGACTTGGTTAAACAACAATTTGCCTGAAAAAGATTTGGAGGTTATAGGGGATTCAAGCTCAATATGAGTTAGCAGTGTGATGAAAGATGAAAGTCATAGTTTCCAGGAATAGGGAGATCATTGACACTGGATTCTGCCTTGGTCAGACCACAACGGAAGAATTATGTTCAGTTCGAAGAACCACAAAAAGAAGACACACACACACACACACACACACACACACACACACAGAGCAAGAGTGTGCAGAATAGGATTACAGGATATTGAAGGACTTCAGGATCAGTTAAGGAACTGGGGGCACTTAGACTAGTGACTCAATGGAACAAGATATCTGTGTTAAAGTATTTTAAGGGTGTCACCTTCTAGAGAATTAGTTATGTTCTGTTTGGTTTCCAGTGGTCAATATTGGGAGACATAGGTTGAAGTTGAAAAGAGGTAGATTTGGGCTTGGAATCAGAAAAAATTCCCAAAAATGTGAACAATTGAAAAGTGGGATGTGCTGCCTCTGGAAATAAAGGATTCCTTCTCACTTCAGGTCTTTAAGCTGGGTTGGGTGATGCATCTGTGTGTATATTTTAGATGGATTCTTGGTCAGTTCCAGATTGAACTACTTGAACTGTAAGGTCCCTTTCAATTCTGAAATTATGTGATTGTGATCTGTAAAGTGTGTGAGAAGAGCATATAAGTGCTAGTTATAGTTATTCCATTCACTTTATTCTGTCCATTACACAAGTCGCAGTTGCTGTCATAGTTTGTGCTATCTACAGCTGAAAAGCCAGGTTAGGAGAGCTTACGTTGCTGGACTGCAGAGCAGAACAACATGGGGCATTTGAATTCAGCTGTCCAGTTATCCCTTGCATGGTATATAGATAGCATGTATGTAAAGTGCATAATATACGTCTGCCCAATTCAGCCTGTGTCTGGCCAGTTGTACTGGATGGACTAGAAACTGGATTTATGCTGCCGGTTGGCAATGTTGTGGACTGATGTTTTCCTGTTACCACGATGGGGTATATGAAATAGTATAGACTTAGGGGTCCCGAGTATACAGCAAGGTTCGAGCAATAACTCATTAACAGCGAAGGGAGCAGGTATGGGAGGAAACCCAGGTCAGTGAGGGCTGCCCGTTTCCTGCTCTTTCTCTCCACTAGAGGCTCAGTCTGGGCACTTGGGTGTGGCCAAGGACATCCAGGAGAGCTGAAGAGAGCGTCCTGAATCGCCCCGCGGCTGCCAATGAACACCTGCTGCTTTTGTGTCATCCAAGCTAAGAAATCTGACTTAAGGACTAAGAGCAAGCTTGAGGGGGTGAAGCAGCATGTCACTGTTGGGGAGGTGGGCGGCGGGAGTGGCGAGTGGAGGAGAATGTCCTTTGCGGATTTTATATTCCCTAGATGCTACACAAAAGTGGCCTCTTTCAACCCGGCACTACAATCTCTAGTCTTTCTATCCCTATCTGAACCATATATTTAGAACATCCCTCCCACGAGACCTTAAAATCAGTTTTTAAGTGTTTCAGGTTTGTATTTGCATCCCTCTTTTCCTCATCAGGGCTCATCCTATATATAATACACCATATACAATACGCAAAGTTGTCAGGTAGCGTAGCTTTTAGAGCTGGAAAGGACTTTGGACATCAATTCCAATCCTCTCATTTTACAGGGAAACTGTTAGGAAACTGAGGCCCGGAGGGGTTGAGCGACCTGCCTGGGTACACAGGTATCAACTAGCAGAGCCAGAAATTGAACTCAAGTGCTCTGACACGGAATCTAGGTCTTCTCCCACCACACCAGAACCTTGTCTCTAGGGAAGATGCTTAAGCCCCTCCCCACCCCCACGCCCCAACCCCTCACCAAAGTGTGCTAGTGTGCTAAGTTCCCTCTGCCGGAAAAAAAAAAAGTTCACAAAGCAAGTCCCAGACGCAGAGCTTAACCACCTCCAACAGTGGGTCCTGGGACATGATTTATCATCTTCTGGGTTCTGGGCAGCCCTGAGGACCCAAGAGCTAGCTAGCTCCGCTGGATGCTGCTGCTGGGGGATGTTGTACATAGATAAGCAACCCATAGTGAATAATTAATAACTGTTCAAAACCCAGGGTCCTATACTCCCAGATGCGGTCCCTGCACAGTTCAGTTACTTGCCTCTAAGTAAATGCCAGTTCCTAGCCCTCGTTTTTAAAACAACTCATCTTTGTGAGCTGCCACCCTGCATCTTAGCTTCCCGGGGTTGCCCCTTCAGTGACCCTCCCTCCCTCTCCTCGCTTCTGATCGTGCGCTGCTCTCCACCCCCACGGCCCACCTCCGCGCTCCATGACTCCCTCCTTCTCTCTCGTATTCGCTCTTCAAGCTTCTCTACCACTGCAGCAGAGGGAGGAGGAGGACTGCATAGTGAAAGCCCACAGCCACTTTCCCGCCCCTCCTCTCTCCTGTGACACACTCACGGGCTCCTTAGGGAGGATTCACCACTGCACAAGCTGAGAGCGCGAGCAGCCGCAGGAGAGGCAAAGGGAGAGAGAGAGAGCGAGAGAGGGAGCCCTGGGGAGGGAGCGGGACCAGGCGACCAGAGCAGCAGCCTCGACAACATCTGCTGCGCCTCGATCAGAGGGTGGGAGTTCCCTCAGCTTCGGAGCGGGTAAGTGAGAGAAGGGAGCTCGGGCCACAGTGGAATTGCTGCTACGAATTCATTTTGCCCTCTTCTCCCTTACTGGGAATTCCCAGGTTGCAGTTTGGGCAACTTTTGCAGGTTTACCAGGGGCCAGGCTTTGGAGATGTTCAACTTTTCCCCGCACGCACACATGCATACACCAGCAGCTGGGGCTGCTGCTCCCGAGAATTAAATAATCGGGATCCCGGGCTTAGATTGGAAAAGGGGTAGAGACAGGTGAGGGACTGGGGCAACCGCTAAAAGTATAGCGAGTGCCTACATTTACTGGGAATGAGGGGAAGGTTCTTCTGGGATACCCCTGGGGCTCAGGTTGGGGAAAAGGGGAATAATAGTTCCGTGGACACTATTTTAGGTGGGGTGTCACTTTAGCCTCCTTTTGCCCAAGAATCTACCTGTCTTCTTATTGTCACGGGTAATGGAAAGAGGATGAGAGGAAATACAACCTCGAACCCCTCTGAACTTGCCCCTTCAGCCTCTGGGTCAACTTTTTGTGGGTAACCAGCTGCTGCGGACGTGGGTGGGTGAGTGTAGTAGGCGTAGCAGTGGCAGGACCCATCTAGCTCGGACTGTACAACTCATCTTTGTAAAGAAAACCTTGAGAGTAAGAGGGAAGGATAAAAGCCATCTTTGTGCTATGCCGGTACTTACTCGCAAATACCTGTGGTGCACAGCAAATATCTCTAGTAAGGTGTTTGCACCTCACCCGCCCTTTCTCCTTGCTGGTTTCCCAGTAGCCCTCCCTCCGCCCTTGCTTCCCTTGCCCCTCTTCCCCTCTTTGGAAATGGAAAAGGCTCTTCTCAGGCGCGTGCTTGGTTGTTGGCTTGAGGTTGACCCACCCTGGCTGGACCACTGGGACTGCGGTAGCGGGTAGTGAAAGTTAGGCGGCAAAGTGGAGGCGGAGCGGAGACCATACTGCAGAACCAGGAACGCTGCGCTAGCGAGGCTGCAGCGATTCCGACAGACTTCTGCAGGAGTTCACTAAGCCTGTAGTGGCCACCCCTTTCCATTCCCCACTCCCCTCCTCCAGTGGGGCAGAACAGGTTGGGGGAGGGCTGAGTCATGCGGAGCAGGGCTGCTTCTTTGACAGCTAGGCAGGAGGATTGAGTGAGAGCGTGTATGTGGTGTGTGTATGTGATGTGTGTGTTTGTATTTGTGTGTGTGTGTGTGTGTGTGTGTGTGTGTGTGTGTGTGTTGTGTGTGTGTGTGTACATACGGGCGCTCGCGATGCAGGCTGGCGAGGACTGGTGGAGAGTGGAAGAAACAGTGTCAGCCTGGGTAAGAGAGCGAATGAGTGTGTGCGTCAAAGAATTTCCAGTGATTGATACTCGCTGGTGCTCCCGGCCACGGGCGCCAGGAGAATGATGACTCTGTAGATCTAGGAGCCGTCGGGATGATTGTGGAAGCAGCAGGGCGAGGAAAGCCAGGGAGAGAGATTGGGGGCTGCTGGCTGGGATTGTCCCTGCTCTGCATTGCGCTGCAGTGCGGGAGAGTCACAGCAACTTCCAACTGGGAAGGCAGTGGACGGTGTTCTCCGGCAGTGGTAGAAGGAAATTGGGGGGAGTTTTAAAAAGAAAATAAGCATATCCATGTTCTCTCTCTTTCCTTTGCCCTCAACATTTCATTTTTTGGCAACATTATATGAATATAATGTTTTAGAAAGCACGATCTGATTAATGAACTTAATTAAAAAGTTACTTTAGTGTAATCTTATCTGCAGAATAATTTTTAAATTTCTTTAAGTAAGATGTTTCTTTTTTTTTTCAATGAAACCTTCAGTGTCCTATTCCATCCCCTCCCCTGGCCAAGTTTATATGACAAAGATCCGAGACCAGATGCAATGAGGTTTATGAGAGGTGCTGTCTAGAGGAAAAGTATCCTTTTATTATTCTTAGTAAAACTAAGTGCTTTCACAGCCCTCATTCCCCCAATATAATCTCTCCTCATGGTTCCTTTATATTTCATTTTGATATTGAACGTTTTATGCTACATTTTCTCCCTTTAAAAAACTTATTGAATATTGCATAGCCACAAAGAAGCATATTCCATGTGTATTTGTACATTTTTATATCTCCTTCAAAAGGTTGCTTTTCTATTAAAGCTCGTCGATTGATATTTTCCCCTATTGTCTTATTGACTGAACAAAAGACTGCAGGGTGAATGGGGGGGGCAAGTGGGCATCAGAAATGAGTGTCCACTCCAGAGACAAAGGTTCTAGTCCTCCTGCCTCTTATGGACTGTCTGACCTTGGACTAGTTATTTGCCTCTCCATATTTTGGTTTCTCCATCTCTGAAATATGAGAAACCTCCTCCTCTCCTCTCACTTACCTTTCATCGATGTTATGGGGATATAAAGAATACTACCTCTCTAAGAGCTTAGATATAAAAGTTCTATAAAGCATATGTTATTAAATGATGTCCCTTCAAAACAAAAGGAAATAATTTTATTTCTTGAAGCCATTCCAAAGGTTTTCCCCTAATACTGTTAGTTTAATGAAATTTGGTTGCCAGTAAATGCAGACAACAGCTAATCCAAAAATCAAATGCCCAGAAAACAAGCAAACAACACAACCAAAACCAGACCTAAATCGTTTCTGATTTCTCAACGTCATGGATTGAAACAGTCAAATTTAGTTTTCATGACACGCTTAAAATGATAGTTGCCTCTCCATGGTCAGAGGAGCTTTCAGCTTTTCTGGCAAAATCCTACTAATTATGATTAGCATAATCATTTGACTTAAGTGTTCTAAGGTTGTCAGGGGACTCATATGAAGGAAGAGAGGACAGTATCCCAGCCCTCATAGAGGTTATAGTAAATGATGTCATGATACTTTGTGTATCATTGCACCATAAAAGGCCCTGCATATCATTGTTACAGAAAAAAAAATACCCTAATTTCTATAAATTAAACTCTAGCTCCTATTTTTATATAAATCTTCTGGTGAGAAATTTCATTAGTGATCACATCAGATTTGGGAAGAAGTTAAAGTCTTCTTAATGAGCTTAATTGTTGTTATTCCTTTACTTACATTGTGTCTTTTGAACAGTGAAAATGGTCTCTTCATCTATGCAGCTGTGGCAGGGAAACACCTACCATTTTTGAAGGCTATTCTGGAATACAGACTATTTTAACCATACAACCAATAATTTGGCGGAATTGCTGAGGTTTCCCTATGACCACATGTATCACAGCATGTATACCAGTGCTTATTTAAGCAAAAACTCATCAATTAGATTAGATCTGTTTGTAAACCTAGGAGGGAGAAACCACAGCTGTTACTGCTTTGGTACATCACAGATGATGTTTTTCTTTGAAAGCTGTTTGGACCAAGGCAAAAATAAAAACGTTGTAGTGTACTAGATTTGGAGCTTGTTTCTTTAATTTAGGCAACTGTGAGTTACAAAAAAAAGGGTGATCCTTTTTATTTTTAATGATTCTTGCTAGTAATGTATCTTAGATATCAGACTAAAAGAATGGAAATTTCAGGGTTTGGAGTTATTCACTGGAAACCCTTTTTTGGGGGTAGATGTTTTTGTATTGTGATATATTTTCCTTTTTGAAAGAATAGAACAATGAAATAGAGTAATATATAGTGTCAGATATTTAAACGGATTATGCACTTTCTATATTTCCAAGTAGAAAAGGAAAAATGGCCTGGATTAGCTTTTTAGGATGATAATAATGGTGATGAACTTGAATTTTTATACAAAACTATAAAATACTTTTTTTGATTGAAATAAGTGATTTTGTATTGTGCAGTTTTTCTATGGATTTTTTTAGTTGTAGAAATTAAGCTTGTATCTATAACTTTTAATTTGGTAAATCAAACAGTGCTACAACATGCACATTATTTATCAGTGAATTTTTTTTAAAAAATCTTGATTTTATAACTATCAAAGGAAAAATCAATAATATCAAGATTTTATATCTTTTTTTCTGACCATCTAGTTAGTACACCATGTCTCAATCTTTTCCTATAGAGAAAAAAAAACACAGTGTAAACACTATTTTTAAAAAAAGGATAATTAAATTAAGATAGTCATCCTAAAAAATTAAAATAGATTACTAAGAGCTAAGACTAGGAAGAGAGGCCTTTTATTCCATAAGACCAAAGGCTGATTGAATTTAGAATTTTATAAAATGAACAGTTGCCCCAGGCCCCCACAGATTTGAGGGCCCTTGAAATCTCCATTTTGCATTACACAAATTCAACTGTAATAATGACTCATCATCATTGGAGGCAGTCCCTTGTGTCTGCATTGCCCATGGGTCCCACCTGTTCTTAATCTGCCAGAATAATTATGTTCATAAAGAAGAAAGCAGACAGACATGTCAAAATTAAGAAGGGCTTCATCTTTATTGTAATTTGCATCCATTTTCAAGCCCTATGTATTCTGGATCCTGTGCCGACCAGTTTGGAGCCTCCAAATCGAAGGGCGTATGAATCGGTTTTGCAGAAGATCCATGACTGGCCGGAAATTTCTGCACACTATTGCAGCTAGCCCAGAAGATGCATGTGGAATTGTGTTGTATCTCCAACCTCAAGAAACATATGTTCAAAATAATTACCTTTAGAATACAATAATATGAAAAAACCAGTTTGTATATTTATTCATACCTATTGAAAGCAAAGAGGCATTTAGTTTCATTTCTAAAGCAGTGTGAATGCTTTTTATACCTATAGCTGTCTATGAGATGGCAGAGAAAGAAGTGAATTCCAGGATGGGGGACAGCCTTGTAAAGGCATAGGGATGGGGAAGGAGAATTGTCAGTGAGGAACTGAAAGATACCATTTTGACTGGGTTGTAGAGTGCAGGGAGGGAAATAATGAATGCATAATATGGCTGGAAAGACAGGCCAGTGCTTTTCTTTACCAAATCTGAAAATGTTCTGACTTCATATCAGTTATCAAATTTTGCTATTTCTAATTCCACAGGATCTTTCTCATTCAGTCTTCTCTTTAATCACA